TCTACTTTGTCAAACCCCTTTAGCATCTTTTGTACCTCAATTTAGATCTACTCTCATTCTTTTAAACTCTAGCAAATATAGACCTAAATTGCTCAATCTCCTTATAACACAAGACATTCATCTCTGGAATTAATCTAACAAACTTTCTCTGATATGCCTGTAATACAATTACATTCTTCCTCAAGAAGCTGTATGCAGCACTCCTGTTGTGATCTCACCAATGCTTTGTCCAGTTCCAACAAAAGTTCCCTACTTTTATTCTCCATTCCTTTATCAACAAATGCCAAAATTCTGTTTGCCCTGTTATTATATGCTATACCTGCATACTAGCTTTCTGTGATTTATGTACGAGGACACCCAGCTCATCTCTACACCAAAGCATTTTGAGTCTCTCTCCATTTAGATATTAAGTTGCCTCTCAATTCTTGAGACCTAAATAGATAACTTCATAGTTACCCATGTTGAACTCTATCTGCCAAATATTGGCCCATTTACCTAACCTATCCATATCTATTTGTAAATTTCTTATTTCTTCATTGTGTCTTACTTTCACAACTATTTTAGTGTCATCTGTAAATTTAGCTGCAATATATTCTATTCTTGAATCCAAGTCATTAATATAGATAATAAATAGTCAGAGCCAAGGACCAAATCCTATGGCAAGCCACTAGTTACAGTTGGGCAACCAGAAAAAGACCCATTTATGCTGACTCTCTGCTTTCTGTTAGTTAGCCTATCTTCTAAACAAGAAAATATATAACCCCAAATCCAAGATCTTACCTTGTGTATTAACTTTTTATGTGGGACCTTATCAAATATCTTCTTGAAATCCAGATAAGCTACATCTATAGCTGCCTCATTATACACCTTGCTTCTTATGTCTTCAAAGAACTCTTAACAAATTAGTTGAACATGATTCACTCATCATAAAACCATACTGATTCTGATGGATTGCAATTTGATGTTTCAAATGTCCTATTACTCCTTCCTAAATAATGAATTTTAATAATTTGCTGATGATAGACATTAAACTGACTGGTCCAAAGTTTCCTACTTCCTGCTTCCCTTTTGAATAAAGGCATTACATTAGCATTTTTTCCAATCCACTGGAACATTTTCAAAATCCAGGGAATTTTGGAATATTATAACCAATACATCCACTATCTCTGCTGCCATTTCTTTTAAGACCCTATGATGTGGCTATTAGGCCCCTGGGGACTTGGCTACTTTAATGCCAATAGTTTGCTCAGTACTTTTTCCCTAGTGATGGCAATTGTCTAAAGTTCCTCATTTTCAATAAAGTCTGCATTACCTGTTACTACTGGGATTATTTTAGTGTCCTCCATCATGAAAACTGAAGCAAAATATTGATTTAGTGTCTCTGTCAGTTGTGTGTGCCCATTAGTAATTCCCCACTCTTGTCCTCTAAAGGGCCAATATTCACTTTAGCTACTGTCTTCTTTTTTATATACTTGTAGAAACATTTGCTATCCACTTTTATATTTTGCACTTGTTTTCTTTCATAGTTAACCTTTGCTCTTTTTATTACTTTCTTTGGTAACCATTTGTTGACCTTTAAAAGTTTCCCAGTCTTTCAGCCTTTCACTGATCTTTGTAGTATGGTCTGCTTTAGTTTTTGCCTTTATGTTATCTTAACTTCTTTGCTTAGCCATGAATGGTTTAACCCCTTTACAATCTTTCTTCCTCTTTGGAATTTATTTTAATTGGGATGAATTGAATATCTCCTAAATGTCTGCCACTGCTCAAGAATTGTCCTTCCTGAATTTGAAATTCTAGCAATGAAGCTTTGATCACTCTTCTCTAGAGGATCCTTTACTATGAGATCATTAATTAATCCCATCTCATTATTTGAGAATATGCCTTCACTACACTCTCAGGCATAACATTCCAGATCCTAATAACTTGCTGTGTAAGAAAGGTTTAACCTCATGTCAACTGTGAGTCTTTGGCCAATCACTTTAACTCAGTGTCGTCTAGTTCTCAAATCTTCCACAATGGGAACAATTTCTCCCTATCTGCACTGTCTAAACCCCTCATAATTGTGATCACCTCTATCAAAGCTTGTCTTCTCTAAGGAGAACAACTCCATTTAGCTACTGAATTGAAGTTCCTCATTTTTGAAAATTTTCCCTTAAATATTAAATGGCTTCACATTCTTTCTAAAATGTGATGCCCAGCTTTGAGTACATTATTCTGGTTGAGGCAGAACCAGAGATGTATGAAGATGTCTCATTTTTAAAGGTTTGAAATTGAACCAGTGATTTATGAAGTTTCCTTAGGAGTAGTTAATATTCCGGAGCTCAGAGCCTAGGCAACAGAAAGCAGGACCAAAAATGTTGGAGAGATTAAAATCAGAGGGCTCTAGACACCAGGTCTACAGGAGCATGGATATTTTGGAGGCTGAGGAGCTGGCAGAACAGGAATAGGCAGGAGTTGTTAGGCCATGGAAAGATTTGAAAGTATTAATGAAAATTTCAAACTCAAGACATTGTATGACCAGGGGCCACTGTAGATCAGTAAGTATAGAGATAATGGCTGAATTTCACTTTGTGCAAGGTAAATCATTGGCAGAAATGTTTTGGATGACTTCAGGTTTATGGAGGGTAAATCATAGGACCAGCCAGGATGTATTGGAATAGTCAAGTCCAGAAATAATTGGGGTATGAATGAGGATCTCTGTGTAGTGGATGATCTGAGAAAGGGGTGAACCAGTTGGAAATAGACAGTCTTTGTAATGAGACAAATATGAAGACAGAGTTCATCTCAGTGTTAAATATGATACCAAATTTTGAGCAGGATATTTTAATTTTCGTTTATTTCCAGGGAACAGCAAGAGAATCAGTAGCCAGGGAACTAATTTTTGAGTGTGGACCGTATGAAATAATTTCAGTCCTCCCTGTTGAAAGAAATCTCTGCTCAGCCAGAGCTGGATGTCAGGGAAGCAGCTGATAATTTAGTGATAACGTAGTCCAGAGGGATGGTGGTAAGGTAGAGCTGAGTGTCATCAGTTTACATGTGAAAACTAACACTGTGCTTTTGGAG